TAGACACCGGCAGCAGTACATTATCCAAGTATCGTTGGGCCGTCATAGTGCGCTGAATACGAACTAGAGGTGACCTGGAATCGTAGGCAATAGTACCCCAAACCATTATGCCACGTTGTCGCGCGTGGGGCGTTCCGCAGTTACTGCCGGATTAGATCTGTCTTCACGTCGACGCCACACAGGTGTTGTGTAGAAAATTTGTCTGATCGCGTTACAAAAACTAGGTGAATGATTTTCTGATTTAAGGAAATCTTAATTTTATTTGATTCTGAATTATTTATTTTAATGCTTTAATTTTGGGGAAAAACCAGATGCTTCGGGGAATATTTTTTAGTTTAAAAGAATATTATTTTTTTTCTTCTATTTGCAGTTTTTGTACAAGCTTTGATTCATTGTGAAAAGCAGGCAGGAAAGGGAGGCAATTTTGCTAAGTCATGATTTCGCGCGCTTTTTGTGTCCTTTAGAATGTTCTAGAAGAAATTTCATTGTGCAGTTGACCTTAGGACAGGAAGTACGTGACAGAAGGGTCAGAGGATTGCCACTTGAACCTTCGATGTAAGTCATTCAGGTTTTGGCGAATCGGAAGGGTCCGGTTGTTAGGCTAGGTGAAGGAAGGAGCGCGCATTCGCGATCACCCTTATTTCCGCATTCAGGGGTTGAAAACGCAAATTTTGCCAAAATTAAGGGGGCGATAATTGAAGCCATAGTGGGGAGCCCGCGTTTGTGGAGGAGAGGAAGAAAATTCGAGTTTGAATCACTTTTCGTGCGAGACTTGCTTGCGAGACTTGCTTGCGGAACTTACTTTTAGACGTTACTCTTGAAACTTGCTCTGGGGTTGAGCTTAGAAAACGAATTGTAATTTACGAAGAGAGACGTTTTTCCGGCGGGGAGCGGCAAATATGCCCCGGCCGCGTTTTGACTAAGAGGCGAGAGACTTTACTCACTTACTCTTCTTACTCTTGGAATCACTTACTGGGTGGACTTACTTACTTTTGGGGCTAAGATTGTAACTTCGAGCTTGCTCTTGGGATGAGTGAGAAAAGGCGAGTCGTAATTGCCTAGAGAGACGTTTCCGGCCGGGAGCTGCAAGCATGCTCCCCTGCCGCGTTTGGTTAAAAGGCGAAATTGAACGGGACGAGTGACTTAAGACTTTCAAGACCAGGCGGACAGCCGTGCTGGGCAGCAGTGCTCCTGTTTCTGTTTTCCAGAGTAAAAATAGCTTCGTTGTTATGAAAACCAGTTACCTGCCGTGTGTATTTCGCCAATAGTGCCAGGACAGGACGATGTCTTCTGAAACTTCCATTTGCAACCATGGATAAGCTCCGCCGACGTCAACTCTTATTAGGATACGAGTCCTCCACTTCAAGACTTCCTTACAAGATAAGTTCTATTTTCTTGTGTTTGAACTTTAAGTAAGGTTTCAACGACTTCCTTGGAATGTAAAATAACAACGTGTAATAATTTAAGTTGTTTGTGTAATCTTCCTTAGAACAGATGTGAATTGCAAATAATATGTTTTCCTTAACATCTTGGAAATTATAGAACGGGTACCCGTTAGATTAAAATAGTCATGTAATAGATTTGCAAATCATGAATTTAAATGTAACAAAAAGTAAATGACAAATTGAAGAATTCCCCTGTGTCTAAAATAAGTAAATTAAAAGATAACACAAATAAGAAATAGACTCTCTGATGAGGATAAGATTTAATTTTTATTGTGAGGAATTTGAATAAACTGATATTTAATCTGGAAACCTATTACTTATGTTTTCTTTATATCTGTTATGTATTTTTCTTATATATATATTGATTTTACATGTTGTTTATTCGATCCTCTCACGGCGCTGTCCCGGATGCATTTTCACAACGCAATGCATTAAAAATTCACTTATACGATCACTAAAAGTAATTGGTAATTAATTGGTATCACTAAAAGTAATTGGTTGGTAATTAGCAAACTCTTAAGAGTTTAGTTTCTCAGTTGATGTATAGTTAGTTGCGGTTCACCTGTCTGTTTCTGCATTAGTTTCCTCCCTAAGAGGAAGTTGTAACACAGCATTGGTGCCCATGATTTTTCGGCAAAGTATAGAAACAAAACATAGGTTTCTCTCTCAGAAACAGAACATTGGTGCAGTAGCTATTTAACACAGGTATGCGGCGACTGTCACTGGATAAACAGAAGCGAGACTCATCTGAGAACACGACGATTCGCCATTCTGTCATCCACATCCACATAGCTATTTTTACTCTGGAAAACAGAAACAGGAGCACTGCTGCCCAGCACGGCTGTCCGCCTCGTCTTGAAAGTCTTAAGTCACTCGTCCGGTTCAATTTCGCTTTTTAACCAGAACGCGGCAGGGGAGCATGTTTGCAGCTCCCGGCCGGAAACGTCTCTCTAAGCAATTACAGCTCGCCTTTTTTCGCTCATTCCAAGAGCAAGCTCCAAGTTACACTCTTAGCACAAAAGTAAGCAAGTCCATCCAGTAAGTGATTCCAAGAGTAAGAAGAGTAAGTGAGTAAAGTCTCTCGCCTCTTAGTCAAACCGCGGCCGGGGAGCATCTCTCTTCGTAAATTCCATCGTTTCTAACGCTTTCAAGCAAGTTTATGCTGGCGTCTATGCTGGGGGATCAATGGCAGTCTTCTTAACGGACGCCGTGAGTGCAGGCCACGTTCAACCAATCCACGGAAATGGTTCTGGTCGACACGGGAACATCCACGGTATCTTGCACACGCTGCAGAATCGCGGTACAAGTGACCTGCGGGACCACCACAGCTTGTCGGCGGATGCATCGATCCACGCGTGCTGACCTTACTCTGGCTACACCTGTACCCCTCCTTATTCCCACATTTCCTTGTTCCAACCAGGTTCGCCATAGCCGATGCATCGTGCTCGCATCCATGTGGGTATCAGCTGCGATTTGACATAAGAACCAACCCGCCCTCTCAAAATACCATATCGTAAAATCGATCTGCAAGTGCCTTTGTTGACCGCGGCCTGGCATTCTCTTCTATTACACGTATTCGGAATCCCACCCAGAGCATGCAACGAGGAAGCACGCCATCACGCCGAGCTCTTGGTTTTTGCCCAATTTTCAGTGGAAGTTTTTGAGTGCGACGTGTGTATTATATACGAAAATGTGCGTGAATATCTCCTGCATCCTTGGATACATCGTTTAAGTGTGTGTGAGTGATATTTCTCCAGATTTTTGTGTTTTAGTGCTTCTAACAAAAGAAAATAGGCAGTCGCAATTTACCGTGTTTTTGTTCACCACTTCTGCCGCTACAGCAACGGAAGGGTCCCGCCTAGCTACCACGTGGTTCCCCTGGTAGGCCTAGGAAATCGGCCAAATATTCCATGTCCAGAAATTAATTTTTAATTAAAATATATGTATATATCTTCGGATCTATTGCAACCAGGAATTTCAAGAACTGGTATGTTTATTTTTTTTTCAAAATGTTTAACATTTTTACAGGATTTGCATAGTGTTTTTAATTCCATCGTTTTCATCTTCAGTTTCGACATTATAGCTCTCGTCGTCGAATAACTTTTCGATAACTTTGAACACTATTCGACAAACTCTAAAAATTTAGTTTTAAAGCTCTAGTTGCGTGCTTTTGATGTGTTTTACATGAGAACTGATCTTTATGCACTCTGTATTTTACCTTTAATTACTTGAAAATGTTTATTTAATCTTTTAATTACTGTATTAATTGCTGTATTTTTAATTACTTGTATTTTTATGTTTCTACTTGCACTTAAAAATCAGTCAGTTTGATTGTATTTAGAGAATTTTTAGTCATAGTTCATCTGTTAATTATGTTTAGTATCTTACTTATTCTACTACATGTTTTAATTACTGTAATTTCTTGTTACTGGGTGTGAAAGGGACCTATTGTTACCAAATTTTATCATATATTGGTTGTTATACAGCAATAAGCAATAGCTATTTTACGTTAAGTATTTGATAAAGAGTTACACTACGAGTGTGATAATTTGCAACTCTGAGAAAGTTCTTGGACAGCATGTCCTGTCAATCAGTGATTCCAACTGACGGTGATTCCGCGCATTCACAAAGTGACGTAGACGCCACTAATTTATTGACCTCTGATTTGCCTTACGCAGAGAAAGTAGCTATTTTGTGTGAGGATATTAGACAGGTAGCGGCCACCACCAGAAGTACTAAATATCTTTTACCTACAGTTCTTCTTCGCACCAGACTATTAGACTCCCTGGTTGCGTTGCAGACGCTGGCCTTACAAGGTGCAGAATTAGCAGCCAAGCCAACAAAGATAGACACAGGTGTTAATACATCAACAGTGCTTTGCTGTGAATTGGCTCGCTCTCAGCCTCTACCGATAGCACAACAACCACCTGATTTACAGGCACCTCCACCTTTGCCAACAGCTTCTCGACCAACTTTTGCAGAGATTATAAAGAAACATAAGAATCCAAGTCTATACATACGTCCCAAAGCGGACGTCACAGAGACTGAGCTAAAGGCGCAGCTAAACGCTAAAGTACCACTTTCCAAGCTACAGGCAGGTATAGAAAGAATTTCTAAGCTCAACAAAGGAGGTTTCGAGGTTGTCTGTAAATCCACTGAAGATGTCGAAATCCTCGAACAACAGCTTCAACAACAAGATATCCCAGCGGAAGTCACCCGTCCATGGAAACGTAAGCCAAGATGCACCGTCCATGACTTGCCGGTATCCACACAATCAGAAGAAGTACTCGCAGAACTCAGCGGCGTCACTGGAATGCCTAGCACCACCTTTAAACCCCCTATTCCGATTACAAGAACGTCGTAAAGGCAAAATCAAGTGGGTTTTTGAGTGTGAGCCGACAGGCTTTGCAGCCATCATGCAGCACAGAAAAATCTTCCTCGGCTGGCAGGCTCATAGAGTCTCAGAGCATATTGGCCTCCAGCGATGTTTTTAGATGCCAGCAATATGGGCATAAGCAAGCTGACTGCAGAAGTAGAAAACAATATTGCTCCTACTGTGCAGAAGAACATGGGAACCGTGATTGCACAGCCCAACAACCACAGTGTATCAACTGTGGTGAGGCCAACTCCCGCTATGGCACCAAATACAGCTACTTCCATCCAGCCTATGCTCCAGAATGCCCACAATACCAGCGCAAGGTACAGTCAATCCGAGATAATACAGAATACTGCTAATCTTGATTTATCAAACGTCATAAATAAAGATACAATATGCAGTACATTATCTATCAAATGTATACAAATAAATTTACAGCGAGCAAAAGCAGCAGTTGCTCAACTAGCACAATTTGCAGCAGAATTTGGTGCTGACCTGATAATGGCTCAGGAACCTTACACGCGAGACGGAATTGCAGTGGGATTTCCATTGCAATGGACAATTTATCAACAAGGAAATGTAGAATATCCTCCTAGGGCCATTATTATTAACTGCAACAAAAAATGGTCTCCGGCTATCGTAGCAATTGAACGCGATAATGTTGCAATCATTATAGAAGCACAAGAAGCATCTTTACTGTTTATCTCACAATACTCTCCTCCTTCTGCAGATATTTTGGCTACTACACAGTTTCTTACAGATACCCTGCAAAAGATTAAAATTCCTCTTAAAATAATTACAGGCGATTATAATGCCCACAACACGGTTTGGGGGTATGCTTCTACGAATGACAAAGGAAGCCTTCTGGAGGATTTTCTGTCTGCTAATCATCTTGTTTTACATAACACAGCAGACGCTCCTCCGACATATGACAGAATCTACGCACAAGGCTGGCCTGATTTGACGGTCAGCTTCAGCCTCAGCTGCGCCATTAATACAAAACTGGAGGGTTAATGATGAAATTAGCTTAAGCGACCATCGTTACATTACTTTCTCTCAATAGAGCAACCGACGACAATTAATATTATTCGTCGTTACAACCTACCTGGTAGGCGTAAACGTGCTTTTACTACTAGAGTCAAGAATTTGTTTGAAGGTATTGAACAACAGCTAACTCAAGCGAACTCTAGAGACGAATTGGAGAATTTCACAGTGACTCTACAAAAGTGTATACAGCAAGCGTGTGATGACATATTGCCACAGCGTAGTACTAAAAAACTGACTACGATCAATTGGTGGAGTAGTGAACTTCGTATTCAGCAGAGGCAATGTCGCGCATTACGTCGAAGGTTAAAGACTGAGCGTAGACTAAACCTTCCAGCTAAGACCCTCCCAATTTATCAACAGGCAAGAGCGAAGTACAAACGTTCAATTTTGCAGGCTAAAATCAATTCATGGCATGCTTTTTGTACAGAGTCACAAAACATCTATGGTATTCATCATAAGATTATGACTGGAAAGCTGTTTAGGCCTGCCCAGTTACACATCCCTACACGAATAAATGTTACTCAGGACTACACAAGGGAAACATTAATACAGATCCTGGATTCCGTCTTCAGTCAGGATGACCCAACCGAAGATTCTAAGCAACAAGCAACTATACGTACAGAACAGATGTCTACCAACGTGCCACCGGATAGGGATATTACATTGAAAGAACTAAAACATATATTAGCGCATTTGCCAAGAAAAAAAGGCCCCTGGCCCTGATGGCATTGATTATGCAATCGTTAAAAACAGTCGTTTTGGCCAAGCCAACAATCTTTGTTAGCTTTTTCAATAAATTGCTAGCTACGGGTACATTCCCGAAATCGTTTAAAATCGGACAAGTGGTGTTGTTTTTTGAAAAAAGATCGCAATCCAGCGGAACCCACATCTTTCCGACCAATCTGTTTACTTCCGGCTCTTGGTAAACTGTTTGAAAAACTCCTTATGACCAGACTACGCTATTATCTACACGTTAATAATATCCTCAGTCCCAGGCAATATGGATTTAGGCCAGGAACTTCCACTTTACACGCTTTGCATGATATCAAAGAGGCTATCATGGACAACAAATATCACGGTCTCCATACAGCACTCATCTCATCAGCTTAGACCTGAAGAGTGCATTTGACAACTTATGGTGGCCAGCGATCTTGCAGGCTCTAAGAAGTTCTGGCTGCCCAAGCAATATCTTTAATACTATAAATCATTATCTACAGGATCGAAGAATAATGATTATACATTCAGCGGGAATTATTGAAAAGTCACAGACGAGAGGATGCCCGCAGGGTTCCTGCGCAGGTCCTCAACTCTGGAATTTAACCTTCAATAAGCTACTCAATGCTTCCTGGCCTGCGCATACGAACATTTTTGCCTATGCCGATGACGCGGCCTTGGTTGTCAAGGGACATTCTCGTGAAGAATTGCAAAAGAACTGCAATGAGGCCTGTCAAATTTTCCAGCGAAATTGTGACGAACTGAAATTAGTCATAGCAGAAAATAAGTGTCAAATTTTACTGGTGCCTAAGAAGGGAGGCTCTTTGGCAAGGAGACCGCGTATTGTACTCAATGGTCAGAGGCTCAAAATTGTAAAAGAATTAAAATATCTTGGTGTTACCTTTGATGAAAAACTTACGTGGATTCCTCATGTTCTCTCTATTAAAAAGCGTACCCTGGCCATCGCCAAACAACTAAGACAATTTTATGGATACAAGTGGGGTTTGAACCACCACATTCAAAAGATCTTATACACAACGGTTGTAGAAAAGTTAGTAACTTATGCAGCAGCAATTTGGGCTCTCCCTATGCAGAGGAGAAAAATCAAGCATCTCTCTACTATTCAGCGCCCTTTTGCCTTAGGAATAACTCGGGCATATATTACTACTTCCACTGATGCAATAAATGTCTTGGCTGGTTTGCTCCCACTGCATATTAGAACTGAGGAGGAAGCAGCACGACAAATGTTAATACAGCTACACAAGCCAATAGCATTTGCTGAAGAAAATTTTACTTCGGAGGAATATGACATAAGGTGATCATGCTATTAGGCCCGGACTGATCTAGAAAAGTGAGCCTATTTATTAAATTTTTTAGACTTACTTAAATCAGTAATTTGTAGGCAATTAATATTCAATCAGAACTGTTAACATATTGATTATTACACAGTGCAGAATAACTTAGTAAGCAAATCATATTCAGCTGAACTGTAAAATATTGCTTTCTACAAAATGCATACCTCTACAGAGTAATATTACTTCTATCTTAGACTCAATAAATCAAACTTATTGTATTACATTCAGATAAATATGATAGATAAAACTTTGGATAAATTAACAATACCCTCCCCGGGGAGAAAAAAAAGAATAATTAACAAGTTATACACAGCAGACACTTCTCCGACATATGACAGAATCTACGCACAAGGCTGGCCTGATTTGACGGTCAGCTCAGCCTCAGCTGCGCCATTAATACAAAACTGGAGGGTTAATGATGAAATTAGCTTAAGCGACCATCGTTACATTACTTTCTCAATAGAGCAACCGACGACAATTAATATTATTCGTCGTTACAACCTACCTGGTAGGCGTAAACGTGCTTTTACTACTAGAGTCAAGAATTTGTTTGAAGGTATTGAACAACAGCTAACTCAAGCGAACTCTAGAGACGAATTGGAGAATTTCACAGTGACTCTACAAAAGTGTATACAGCAAGCGTGTGATGACATATTGCCACAGCGTAGTACTAAAAAACTGACTACGATCAATTGGTGGAGTAGTGAACTTCGTATTCAGCAGAGGCAATGTCGCGCATTACGTCGAAGGTTAAAGACTGAGCGTAGACTAAACCTTCCAGCTAAGACCCTCCCAATTTATCAACAGGCAAGAGCGAAGTACAAACGTTCAATTTTGCAGGCTAAAATCAATTCATGGCATGCTTTTTGTACAGAGTCACAAAACATCTATGGTATTCATCATAAGATTATGACTGGAAAGCTGTTTAGGCCTGCCCAGTTACACATCCCTACACGAATAAATGTTACTCAGGACTACACAAGGGAAACATTAATACAGATCCTGGATTCCGTCTTCAGTCAGGATGACCCAACCGAAGATTCTAAGCAACAAGCAACTATACGTACAGAACAGATGTCTACCAACGTGCCACCGGATAGGGATATTACATTGAAAGAACTAAAACATATATTAGCGCATTTGCCAAAGAAAAAGGCCCCTGGCCCTGATGGCATTGATTATGCAATCGTTAAAACAGTCGTTTTGGCCAAGCCAACAATCTTTGTTAGCTTTTTCAATAAATTACTAGCTACGGGTACATTCCCGAAATCGTTTAAAATCGGACAAGTGGTGTTGTTTTTGAAAAAAATCGCAATCCAGCGGAACCCACATCTTTCCGACCAATCTGTTTACTTCCGGCTCTTGGTAAACTGTTTGAAAAAACTCCTTATGACCAGACTACGCTATTATCTACACGTACACGTTAATAATATCCTCAGTCCCAGGCAATATGGATTTAGGCCAGGAACTTCCACTTTACACGCTTTGCATGATATCAAAGAGGCTATCATGGACAACAAATATCACGGTCTCCATACAGCACTCATCAGCTTAGACCTGAAGAGTGCATTTGACAACTTATGGTGGCCAGCGATCTTGCAGGCTCTAAGAAGTTCTGGCTGCCCAAGCAATATCTTTAATACTATAAATCATTATCTACAGGATCGAAGAATAATGATTATACATTCAGCGGGAATTATTGAAAAGTCACAGACGAGAGGATGCCCGCAGGGTTCCTGCGCAGGTCCTCAACTCTGGAATTTAACCTTCAATAAGCTACTCAATGCTTCCTGGCCTGCGCATACGAACATTTTTGCCTATGCCGATGACGCGGCCTTGGTTGTCAAGGGACATTCTCGTGAAGAATTGCAAAAGAACTGCAATGAGGCCTGTCAAATTTTCCAGCGAAATTGTGACGAACTGAAATTAGTCATAGCAGAAAATAAGTGTCAAATTTTACTGGTGCCTAAGAAGGGAGGCTCTTTGGCAAGGAGACCGCGTATTGTACTCAATGGTCAGAGGCTCAAAATCAAAATTGTAAAAGAATTAAAATATCTTGGTGTTACCTTTGATGAAAAACTTACGTGGATTCCTCATGTTCTCTCTATTAAAAAAGCGTACCCTGGCCATCGCCAAACAACTAAGACAATTTTATGGATACAAGTGGGGTTTGAACCACCACATTCAAAAGATCTTATACACAACGGTTGTAGAAAAGTTAGTAACTTATGCAGCAGCAATTTGGGCTCTCCCTATGCAGAGGAGAAAAATCAAGCATCTCTGTACTATTCAGCGCCCTTTTGCCTTAGGAATAACTCGGGCATATATTACTACTTCCACTGATGCAATAAATGTCTTGGCTGGTTTGCTCCCACTGCATATTAGAACTGAGGAGGAAGCAGCACGACAAATGTTAATACAGCTACACAAGCCAATAGCATTTGCTGAAGAAAATTTTACTTCGGAGGAATATGAAACTGTTATGTTAAAAATATCACGGTACCAATAATGTTATGTTAAAAATGTCATGGCACCAATAATGTTATGGTTTCCTAAGGTCTGGTACCTAAAAGGTTTCCTACTCTGTTGACATAACACTTAAAATTTTTAACAGAATATATAATATCAGTAGCCTGTACATTTGCGTTGTTTTCGGATAACCTGAAATCAATTTGAGAATGAGACGGGTGAAAATCATGAGCACACACACAAAAAAATAAATAAAACAATTGATGATCTAGAAAAGTGAGCCTATTTATTAAATTTTTTAGACTTACTTAATCCAGTAATTTGTAGGCAATTAATATTCAATCAGAACTGTTAACATATTGATTATTACACAGTGCAGAATAACTTAGTAAGCAATCATATTCAGCTGAACTGTAAAATATTGCTTTC